GTGCGTGCGTGTGCGTGCACGTTAATTATGTTTGTGCGTGTGTGTGTGTGCGTGTCTTCTGCAGCTCGTTTTTGGCCTGTTGGAAAGAAACCACCATGAACGTCAACATGTTTAGTTCCCTGTCCTGACACACAACACACTTGGATATGTCACCACCTGTCGCATACAATCGTTGTCATCAGTGGATAGCATGTAACTTCTTGCCACGACACTCGCCCCCATCTTGCATCATCTTTCAACATGATTTTCAACTCACCAGTCTTGCAGCAAAAGATGCCAGAGCTAGCACCACCCAGGCGCCGGATGCCCAGGTCATGCGACATTGAAATGGGCAAGAGCTGTGTCTTGCCCTATGTTGCAAAAGCTCAAGCGAATGCTTCGTCTGAAGGTACGTGGCGCGTTGCAGTTTCCATCATGAAACTAACTCAGCCCCTTGAACTCGAACCTTCCGCTGATGCGAAGTAACATCCGACCAGGTCAGCTTTTGACGACTTTGAGAAGGCTGTAAGCTTAATCCCATCCGTTACAGAAAGTTCGGGTGCGCAAGCGTACTTGGAGGTGTCCCCAAGATGCCCTATAGGGGTGGCGGAGCATCTTCGGCTTTCCATGGGCTGCAAGCTATCATACCTTACAAACGGCTTTTGCCAGAGAAGGGCTTACCCTCGCCAGTGGGCATTGTGCCGAAAATGGCCGCGGCGTGGGCGAAATTCCAATGTTCCGTGGCTGGGCAAATATGGGGGGGATATCTATGGCTCCCTTCATGGGATTCCTTGTGGAAGTCCTTCAGACCCTCGTGAATGCGATGATGTGAGGACCTTTCATTTTTCCCTCAATTGCCGAATTCAGATCGTCCGTCTGCAGTGCTCGTTCGCGCAACCGCAGAAGTTTCAATGTTCCGAGAAGTCACGCCCCCCTGCTCAGAAAACACCCCACCAAAATCCGGCCCAATCTTAGACCCGCGGTTCTGAAGAGACGCCGGCTGATCACTGTTGGGGATACAGCAACCTTGTCTCCCCCACACCGGAAGAACTTACCTCAAACACTTGAACCCTCACGCAAGAAACACGTTGGCAACTTGGGTTACAAACATGGTTCACTGTCCACAACCTCTCAATCACAATAAGCAATCTGGTTCCTCAGTAGCTCACCTCGCTGCGAACAAATGCCAAGAGTTACGACCCCAGGGCCGTCCAAAGCATTCCGAGTGCGTGGCGAGAATCGAAGCCGCGGCGCAGCACAGCCGGATGGCTACAGCATTTTGGCTATATTTCGCAAGCACCTTTCGAGATCACAACATCAGCTATGTTCCGAATATTTCAGGATTGCTCCAATCACACTGGTCAAAGTGTACTCAAGCTACTCCCTGGCTTAGGACTGTTGCATCCCTGGCTTGTCCAAGCAAAAATAGATTATTGACCCTTGGCGAAGCACAACGCCACACAGCACAAATACCCCTTGCAATGATCTGGGAACGTCTGCACTTTCTGATTGCTGGCTGGCACTTTTGTAAATGATGTCTTGTTTGGCACCTATGGATGCCTTCTGAGCAAGGCTGGAAAGGACGCTGTAGGCGTGGCTGCCTTGATCCATGAAAGCCAGAAAGCCATTCCATCAGCCCGGCTAGGGCTAGTGGTTCTTGATAGCAACGTGAACTGTGGAGGCAGCTTCACTCAAGCCTAAAGTTAACAATACAGGGCAAAGCAACTTTCCAGTCAACGCTGCAACAGCTTGCTCCTTCTCTGCTAAAACAAGTTGTGCTTTAAACTGAGCCGCAAAAAAAGGGGAGGCCCAATATTCTGCCTCACGCGGCCCTGGGCGATGTGTGTTTGCACTTTCTTCCGTGGCACCGCTGGCTAGAAGGCCTTACAGTTTGAACTCCTTGGTTGGACTCCTGGCAGCACCCGACCAACCCGTAACAAGGCGCTTTTGCAAGTGTCCACGCATTCATTCCCTCATTCATCGGTTGCCACAGATTCTTAATTTGGAGTCAGCCACGCTCGGACAAACATCTAGGTTCAACCGGGCAAACACGAAGGGCACTGTTCACAACGCCAGCCCTAAATTGCTAACGATGCTCCAAAGCCACATCTTTGGCTTAAGTGCGTGGCGGCTGTATCTGTTTGAATTGACCCCAAAGCCACAATCCGGATGAGTTGCAATGCAATCCAAGGCCTCCAAACTCCAAGATTCCATGCACAAACCTCCCGCCCGGGTGCCGGTGGACCTCTTCAGCAGAGAAAAAGTAGCTGTCGTTGAAGGAGGTGAAGCTGGCCTCGCTGTCCCCGCATGAGGTCCACGCAAATGTGACTCAACCCATCCTTGCAACAATTCGCGGAGAACTCGAACAATATCAAGCCATGATTGTTGCCAACCAGCTCACATCTCTTGGAATCGTGAATGTCACCAACACGAGCTCCAGGTGTTCAGCCGCCAGTGGCCCGAGCAGCCCGATGTCCAGAACCCAAAGCGGCCCAAAGCGCGGCTCGCCGCCGGCGCCTCCTCCCGCAGCGTCTTGCCCCGGCTCACGGCGCCTTGGACCGCATCTGCGCCCGCCTGGGCTGCACGTGTCCAGTCCGCCAGCCTCAAGGGCGCCGCATACGGTCCGAGGGTATGGGGCTCTACAAGCCACACCAAGCAACACACACACAAGCATAGCCCTGAGGGAAAACCAGCTGCACCTGTATGCAACATGACGCAACATACGCAGCCCTTCAATACTTTCTATTTGATATCGGCCAACCTCCCCTGACAAGGGTCGCTTCAGGATCAAAGGCAATAGACAGCTGCATCGGCCACAGCGAAGATTCGGATGTCTTCGAGCTGTTGCACCGAACGGTTCGTGCCAAAGCTTGGACTGCTCACGCGTATGATGCGGTCTGGGTCCGCTGTGCAAAGCTGAGCCTGCACAAATGTTGGTTTGCAGTACCTTGCACTCCACTTGTGCGCAAAGTTGATATCACCACAACGAGAACGCTGATGAACATAGGCCAGTGACAAAAAACATCAGCAGTGCCACTAAACAACTCCGAATTCATGTGCTAGGCAAGGACCAATCCTGCCCACGGGCCTACAATAACATCGGGAACCAATCGCACCAGTGCGCTGTATCACCCCAACCCTCCGCAGGGCAGTTGCCAGTTTTGGATCTAAAGCTCTCTCTGTCTTTTTTGGGGAACCCCAAAAATGGTGGTCCTCCTCCTGTTTCCCTTTAAAACCACCAAAAAGCGGTACCCTAAAAAAAAAAAAAAAGAAAACACACCCTCCCAGTACACACGGCTTCTCCGTCTATGGGTTCCCGGGCGCGCCGGCGACCAAAGCCTCGGCCTCCGCCCGGCTCAGCTTCAGCGTCTGCAGGCTCTTGAGCTCCTTGCTGCGTCTTTTGTGGGCTGCCCCCAAAATGGTGGGCTGTCTTTTATCGGTTTCCCTTTACAACCGAAACAGGGCGCCGGCAAAAAAAAGGTGGTTTTACCTTTGGATTCGGTTTAGCCTCTAAAAACCTACCAAATAGGGTGCCGTCAAGAAAAGACAGACCCAATGTGACAACCACAGCCACGAAGAACAGAACAAACAACAGCAGAGTTAGACTCCCACCAGTCCGAGCGCAGCTCATCTGTGGAAGAGGACAAGCGGTGCTGCCGCCTGGCCAGCTCCTGGCCAGTTCCATTTGAAGGGGCAGGGTACTTAAGTGGGTAAGTGGGAGATAAAACCATCTTGGTTGCTGTTGATCCCCCCTGCAAAAATTTAACTTGTTTGGGGTTTAGTGGACAACCCCTTGATCTCCCAAAAAGCTAAAGTTTAAGGATCCAACCCAATAGCAGTCAAGCCATGAGTTGCTGAGTACCCTGCCCCTTTAAGTAAGGCTGCAAATCGAAAGGCCTCGAAGATTCCGGCACGCCAAGACTGGACTTGAAAACCTTCCAAAGGCAAATGACCGCATACATAATTATACGTGAACAAGAGTAGCACTAGCACAGCCACGTGCTGGCAAAGCCTGAACTATCCGGAGTCATGGGGCCAATGGGGCCATGATATGGGTCCCGCAAGTCTCGGTTCTGTCTATCCAGCAATTAGAACCCAAATAAACACCCCCTTGATTGATACGACCAACATTCTTTTAGGAAACCACTGGTCGATTAATATGAGGGCATCCTGTTTCGTGGGGATTCTTCACGTTGGGCGGCGCTGCTTATATCATCCGCCAGGCTTCCTAGTTCAGGATTGTGCTTATTCACTCTGCCCTTCATAGTCGATTCAAGCCGAAGCGGCCTTTGGGCTTCTGCCGAGGCACTTTCCTACCAGCAAGTACACGCTTTTTCCGCCTCAGCTAGCTTTGCCGTCTCAGCACGACAGCACAATGTGCTGCCATTTGTTTGCCGCGATGCCGGTGGAATAGACGCCACGACTGGTCCTCAGTGCTATGAATTGCTGAATTGCCGTCCATCCTAGCCACCGACAGGGCTGCCTGAAAAGATAAAACGCACCAAATAGCCAGATGTACATGACTAAGCTTCAAGGCTCCAACCGGGTGTTCATGTACTGACAGCTGCTTTCCATTGGTAGACGTTGGCCACCGCATCGCCACTCAAGCAGGAGCGCAGGCCTCAGCGTGACAGCTGCCGCCAACTTGCCATACTTTGCACGAGGGAATGCTCGGCTGCACGTTGATTTGGGCCAATACTTGCAAATAGTGTCGCTTTGCCATGGCCAAGTTTTGTTTGCACCCCGTTGTTGTTCAGTTGTTCACGACTGCAGCTGCGAAGCAAAACCGGTAGTGTGGTGGGAGGATGCTTGGGCGATCCATCCTTTTCAGCCAGGGCACATGACCATCAACATCCGCAAAGCGCCTCGTCCGCGTCAAATAGAGGCAGGCTCTGCCCTCCTTCAGCAGTCCGTGCTTGAACCTTCTTGTCTTCACCCATTCGCCGCCACTTGTTGTGGGTGCGTGTCAATTCGAATAATTCATGGAGAGCACCTGCGTTGGCAGATCAAAGGGCGAGTGTACCAAGATTCAACATCGAGACCACGTGTCCTATCCAATCTGGCCAACCTCGAAAACAATTTCGGCACAACTCGCGTACAGTAGGCCCTGTGGGGTGTTGGCAGTTCAGTTCAAGTGAACTTCCTGCCTGCTGGTGGCATTCAGCTCAAAGCTTCCCGCTAGCTGCTGCAGTAATTGGGGCAGCATTAGCCTCAGCTGGCCAGGGGAAACTTGACATGGCCGTCCAGCAATTGAGTAATTATGCTGTATGTTTATTGCGATGGTGCTGTCATTGTTGTTGCCGTTGTTGTCACTGCTGCTGCGGCTGCCGCCACTTTGATCCCCCCCAAGCCATCCCAAACCTCCCCCCACCAAGCCATCCCAAACCTTCCCCCCACCCCAAACCTCCCCCCCCCCCCAGCCATCCCAAACCCTCCCCCCCCCCCCAAGCCATCCCAAACCCCCCCCCTCTTTCCAAGCCATCCCATCCCAAACCTCCCCCAAGCCATCCTAAACCTCCCCCCGCAAGCCATCCCAAACCTCCCCCCCTCCCCCCCCCCCTCAATTTTGCCAGACTGCCAGTAGCCAGCCCGCTGCCAGGCACGCAGCATCGCCCCCAGACTCGTGGGGCAAAACTCCGCGCCGGCTTCTGATGCTGTGGATTGCCTTGTTGGTACTTAAAGGGGCAGGGAGAGTAGTCAGTGGGGTAGAAATATGGTTATAACCCACTTACCATGATATAAGTCTCATAAGCTGGGCTCAAGGTGACAAAACACCTCACAAAGTAGCCCATCGGGAGGCAACCCACAGCAACCAAGTGGATCGGAAGGAATTGCATTGGACTAGCACTAACAAATGATATGGTTTGTGTCACACGCCTTTTTTTTTGACACACCCAACCATTGGTGCCATCCAGCCATCCAGCAATGCGCCAAGAAAAGGCAAAATGGAGATGAGCCAAGATCAACACATTAGCCCGAGATCCTGGGGGCTTGAGCTGCTTGCGGTTTCAGCCATGAGGTTTGATTCTGGGTGGTGGTTTGCAAAGCCAGCCACTGACAAAGCAATCAAAGAGGCTTCAAAACCGTTGGGCTACAAAGTCTGCAAGCACCGGGAGGGATGTTCATGGGGGGGGTGGGGCTGGCACATATAGATCTCCCCGTGTATTTGCGGGGTGGGGTTGGAACTGTCTTGCATAGCATAGAATCAGGAATCAGCCACCGAGGTGACTACATGTGATTGCGCAGAGGAGAGGAGAGGAGGAGAGGAGGAGAGGAGGAGAGGAGGAGAGGAGGAGAGGCGGAGTGGAGGAGAGGAGGAGAGAGGAGGAGAGGAGGAGAGGAGGAGAGGAGGAGAGGAGGAGAGGCGGAGTGGAGGAGAGGAGGAGAGGAGGAGAGGAGGAGAGGAGGAGAGGAGGAGAGGAGGAGAGGAGGAGAGGAGGAGAGGAGGAGAGGAGGAGAGGAGGAGAGGAGGAGAGGAGGAGGAGAGGGGCAACTGCAAAGTCTCCGTGAATTCGAGGCGGCGCTTCGTTTTTAACCAAATGGTCACTACAATAACTACAACATGCTGCAACTCGATGTAACTTGTAGCTATGCCATTGTGGCCGCCCTGAGATCCAAAAGTCATTTTGTCGTGGGCGCATTGTCCCATCTAATGACTTTCCCAATGGCCTGCACATGCCTGGACATCCTTCCTGTAGGGAAAATACATGAACATATGCGCGCTGAAACATATTAATACGCACACCCCACTGTTGCGTCTTTTTGCGCCAGCGTCATCCCGCATCACACGAACCAAATCTCAAGGAAAACAAGAGCCCTGTAGCCTCTGCAAAACGACAGCATTTTGGCTGCACACATTTTATGGTAGGTATCCTGCACCTGGAGGGCCCCCGATGTGAGGCCATCCACCATTAAACCGCCTATAGGGAGGTCAACCCCACCCATTTCGTGGGGGGAAATGCAGAGAGGGATGCAAAATAGCACGCATTCGCAAGCTTGAAGTTTGGATAGAGCTGACAAACATCCTCAAAACTTGCCAATTGCAAAAAAGGCGCAGGAGCAACACGTGGCGCCACTGCGATGCTTTGTCAGAGGCAGCAATGGCAGCGTCAAAGGAGATGACATTTAATTCGACGAACGTGCCAAGCTGATGCACCACGTGAACGGCGCGTCTCCAGTCCGTAGCTTTGCCGCACGAACCTGAGTAGACAGAGGAAAATACCAATTGCCATTTGAGCCTTACCTGAAATGTTTCAGGGCACAACAACATTTGCCTGGAAAACCTGCCAACTCAGCAAGAAGCTGAGGATTCCGTGGCATGTAATTTCATCTGCACGTAAGGCGCCTTGAGTTGCCAACGACATCAGGCCCACGGACTGCTGCCACCTGTGAGTGGACGGCTGCGACCAAACCTTTTGGACACCACTCCCCTCAACCCCAAAAAGGAAGAAAGGAAGACGACACGCCACCGATGGGGAAAGTGGCGCGGTCGCGAAAACACGCGAAATTTGGCTTTGTGCTATGTGTTCTTAAACACCCTGATCAAAGGCTTACCCGGGCATACATACCTTGTGATCTATTTTCCTGTTCGGTTGTTACAGTGGTACAGCGACATGCGACTACTATCGGTGAGGTTTCGATCCCGCCTGGAGGCCTTCTCGCAAGCTTTCACCGCAGAGTTGCAGCTGCAGATGTCGGAGACGCCTCCGAACCTGGACGCCAGGTCAGAGGCTTGGCGCCATCGCTGGGCCTGGGCACAGCTGGCCAGGGCCACGTTGAGGCTCACCACGTCAAAAGGATCGCCAGATGTACCGAGCCTTACCTGGTGGCGAAAAAGGAAAAGGGCAACTGGCCTTTGGACATTTCTATTTCTGTGAAGCCTGTCAGACAAAGTGAAAGTTGACTTTCCCCAGAGTTTGGCTTAGGAAAGCGCCAAACCAAAAAAAGAGAAAAAGGCGCTGCCATAGATCTGGGAAGCGCGTCCAGCAAGGCCAAGGCCAAGGCCCACTCTGCGGCTCTGGTGCAGGAGATGGCTGCGTTGAAGGAGATCACGTCCGCCAGGCGGCGCCTGGCACGGGTGCGAATTTCACCCCTGTGACAATGATGTACCCTCCCAACCAAAAAAAACGGGGAACCCAGCAAGGTCCTAGAAGACCATTTCCTTTTAAAGGGACCGGGTCCCTTTCAGGTTCCATGTGAATTGGAGGGTATGGGCATATTTGAAACTTCCCTCTAGTGTGAAGCTCTTTGCTGGCCTCACTGCTTCCTCCAGCAACAGCAAGGCCTGTTCCCAGTTCACGTCGCAAGCGCTGATTGCCTTGGATACTAACTCGGACCCTTGGCTGTCAAAATGTTTCTTTGGATGCTCGGTATCCGCACATGACATACCCTTGAACAACGGCCATCCCCCAACATCATCAGCCATCAGCACGCATCCGCCGTGCTGCTCGCCATCAGCGCTTCCTTGGCTGGACGTGTTGCAAGAGCTGCTCCCCTTGAACGTGGCTCATGCCGCATGCCCACAAGAAAAAGAAGCCCCGAACATAACTTGTTGCGGCCATCCGCTACTCGAACTCACCCAAGCGAAGCGCCCTCCCCATCGCAGCACCGCCCTTTCTTCCGGCAGCGCCCATGGCTGGGCGAGTCATCCTCAAGGTAGGCCTGAGGGGCCTGTACAGAAAAAGTGTTCTTGGGCCTGCAGGCTCCGGGGAAATGCCGCTAAACTCAGGTTGTCTGCTGGCAGGTTTGCTGCTCCGTCTGGCCTCAGCCCATCAGAAGTTGATGTTCCCGGCCTGCTTGATGTTCTCCTGGTGCGTCTTGAACGCGTGCTCAATCTTCCAGATCCCCTGTCTCTAGTGTTGATCCACATCAGGCTTTTGACTTGGCCGGTCTTCAACCACTCCTTGAACTTCAAGGCGTGGATCAACATGATGGCGTCCGTGGGCGTCTTCACTTCTTTGGCTGCCAAAGCCCGGAAGACGGCATCTGCATCGATGGCCACATCTAGGCCTTCTGTGATCTTGCCGCACTCGAGCTTGTCTGCCATGTGTGCTGCTGACTGCACACCATTGGTGATCTCATTCACCATCATGCATATGTTCAAGCCCAAGCCGACCATGTCCTGCGCGCTGTAGAGCTCCGCCGTGACGTACTCTGACACACGCGGGATTGCTTCTTGGAGATGTACTCCAAGATCTGTATCGGATTGTTCCCGACAACCGGGCCCTTTGCGCTACTCAGCACAATCAGCCCGCTCCTCACTGCCAAGTGGTCCTGGTCCTCACCGCGGTAGGCCGAGTCGGTGATGGCCATAAGCTTCAGGGGACCAGTGATCTTGTGGTAGACCAGTTTCAGGGGGTTCTGCTTCATGTAGCGAACCAGCCTGTTCAACTTCAAGAGGTCCTCCACCACCGGAGATTGCAGCTTCCGCTGCAGGGCGCTCACGTAGACGATGATGTCCATCCTGGTTTGCGTGGTCCAGGCAACACCGCCCAGAAGCGACATGTAGTACTTGCGGTAGTCCGGTCCCACCAACTGTTCTTTTGGTTGCAACTTCAACTCCTCCTCCGGGATCAGCCTCAACTCGCGGATGTAGTGCTCCTGGCTGATCGTCACCATGCCATCCGCGCTCGTCTCGTGCTTGAGTCCAAGGTGGGTGAAGTTGCCCTTCTCGACCTTCATGCTTTCGAAGCGGTCCTCCAGCTTCGCGATCACGATCTTAACGATCTTGTCCTCTCCGCAAAGCTTCAAGTCGTCGACGTGAACCGTCAGAACGAGCACCACACATCCCCGCTCATGCCGCACGAAGGTCTGCGGGTCGATCGTGGTCGGCGTGACCCCAATTTCAGCGAGGGCACGCCTCAAAGCCAACAACCACAATCTCGGTGCGTCCTTGAGTCCAAACCCAGGTCTGAGCAGCCGCAGGACCTCGACCTCGGGGTTGAAGTCCTCATAGCCCGGCTGCATGCGCAGCAATGTCTTGCCGCCTGGAGGCTGACCACTTCGTGGAAGTTCCAGCGTAGTTGCTTGTGAGCTGGGTGTCCAAGAAGCCTTGTGCCACCAACCTGGCCTTGATCTTCTTGTCGGCGTTCTCCACAGCCTTCCACTTCAAAACCCACTTGCTGCACAGGATGTTCTTCTGACCATGTTTGGCCGTTCTGCACCATGACTTGTACTTGATCCAGCGCTGCAGCTCCTGCACCATGGACTCGCGGCACTTCTCAGCGTTGACCAGTGCTTCTTCACGTGTCAGTACATTGTGCTCGCGCTCGATGGCTGCAAAGGGCTTGTCGTTGGACATCAAAACCAGGGCTGTGTCCTGCTTGCGCATCTGACTCATGAGCTTCCGGATGCTGCCGGTGGTGTAGACCAGAACTCCATATATTAGCTCCAGCTCTGCGGGTTCTTGAAGTTCACCAGCATTCGTCACCTCCGGCATTTCCATGAAATCTGCCACCGCCGGGACTGCCGAGACAAAGGCTGTTCCTCGTTCTGGCTCACTGCCCGGCTCATCAGGCTCTTCGGCTTCTGCAGCGTTTTGACTCGCTGCTTGCTCTTCCTCTCCAGGCTCATCAGGTGCTGGTTGGGCATCAACGATTGCCCTCGCCTTCCTTTTTCGCAAGAGGTCTTTGTCTTTGACCTCAACCAGCTCGGGGGCCTGCGGTTCGTGTGGGCCACCGATGTGTGGAGTGTCATCCACCTGAGTCCGTAGTTGCCGTACTTCTTCATCATCAACCATGAAATACTGCACGAAAGCCACCTGCTTCTGCTCGGTCAGCCTCTCCAAGCTGATGTACTTGGTTCCGGTGATGAAACAGTGATTCCACCTCCGAAGATCACCGCACTGCCACCACACGATCAACGTGTCGTCATAGACCGTCGCTGGGAGGCCATTGACTCCATGTCCGAACCTGAAACCAACGGTGCCCTGAAGATGTAGGCACACTCCGGCAACATAGAGTCCGGCATTGAGCACCTCCGCATAGTGCCGGTTTCCTTCACACGAAACCCAGCATGCTCCCTGCTTGAACCAGCCCAGCCGTAGAGCTTCTCCTCGTTGAGCTTCCACAGCATCACGTAGAAGCCGCACGGGATTTGATGGCTGTGCGAGGAAAACCGCAAACACAAGGGCTCTCCGCACATCTTGAGTCCGCACCAACAACTGCCTGCCCTGCCAGCGCACATACACGATCCCTTCCCTGAGGCTTGACAGATCAGAGACCGTGGCAGGGCCAACCCAGCCGCTGGCGTCCTTCGTAGTTGGCCGCCTGAAAATCTCAACCAGTCGAGTTCCAACAGTTCCGCTGACCGTCTCACCTTGGCGAGGTTCGCAATGAGCAGCTTCTGCTGAGCTGTGGCTTGAATCATTGAGCTCACTGCTATCTGCCGGATCCGAGCTGCGTCTCGTTCTGCTAGAGGTGCTGCTGCGTCGTGCGCCGTGACCTGCAACAATGGTGGAGTTCTCCCGAAGACAGCCTCGTGGGGTGTGGTGTTGCCAACAGTGAACAAAATGTTCTTGGCATAGATCGCCTCGCCGATCAGTGTGTTGATGCCGATCGGGAGGCCTTCGTTCTGAGCCTGCGTGTCAATCAAATGAAGTTGACGTCGCAACAGTTCATTATGTCGTTCCACCACTCCACAATGCTGCTCCTTCGCCACCAGCTGCAGGTTAATGCCACGGCGACTAATCTGCTCCGCCGCATAGTCCGTTGCCAAAGCACCTTCCTGGTCGGACATCAACGTTTGCGGCGGTCCAAAGAAGCGAATCCAGCAGTTGTGTATTGCCGCCAGGATCGAGTCGGCCGTCCTGTCGGGGATGACCTCCGCTGCTGTCCACCGAGTCGTCATGTCGACCATGTGGAACAGCACGTAGTCCTTGTAGAACAGCAGGTCGCACTGCGCAATCATGTTCATGGCCTCTGGCAACTTTGATGATGTGGCCGCCTTGATGCCCGGCCGTTGCCATGCCCTGCAAACTGCGCATGTGTCAACCACCTCCGACACCAGGGCCAAAACCTCACGTGAGGTTCCTGCTGCAGAGAGAAGAGCTCGCATCTTGGCCGCTGAGCAGTGGTACCACCGGAGGTGTAGTCGCCGAAGTGCACAACGTACCACTCCTTCTCGCACGCTCCGCAGTGCTTGCAAAGCTGCTCCGAGGTCAAAGCGCGACCATTCTGGTCCTTGAGGTTCTTCCGGATCTGAACCTTCGTCATCTCCATCTCCACCATCGTCTGGTGCAGGGGGTCCGCCACCAGGCTTGACCAGCTTCTTCTCGGAGCGTTCCTCAGCTTGTGTACCAGCGTCTGCTTTGCGTGTTCTGGGTCCACTATCTGCGGCCTTCAGCGCTCGCCTTGCTTCAGGATCTGCGGGAACTTCTCCGCAACTTCACCAGTCAAGGGTTTCGGCTTTGCTGCGGGATCGCCAGGAACTCCACTCTCTCGTCTGGGATCGTCGCTCAAAGTGCTGGTCGGATCTCTGCAAGCCGGCACTCGTCCATCTCTAGGATGAGACCCTCTTCGTTCTCTCGTGCCTCCAGCTGGCATTTCACGTGCCACTGCCCATTGGCAATCTGGCCCAAGGGTGTGTGTGCGGTGCGCCCGATGTCGGTTTGCCCTGCGTGCTGGACACCTCCAATCACTTGGCTCAACATGTTTGAACCGGCAGTCGCCACTGCGTGAGTGTCTCTTGTCGTCTTGACAAGATGTCCACGACAGCCGGGACACTCATATCGGTGCGTGCCAGCAGCAAAAGCCTTGGTGTGATTGGGTCTGCTGAGGAGATACTCGTGAATGCCGGCTGCAATTCTCTCACAGAGTTCCAGGGGCCAAACTTGCATGTCGGCACTCTTCACCACATGAGCTGCATGGCCCTTCCACTGCCCGATCACCGCATGCTCGTGCTTGCCGTCGCATCTCAGGTTTTGCAGGTGGAAGAGAAGCTGCTCGTGTGAAGCCCGGATCTCCGTGCTTTTTCGCACCGGCAGGAAGGGTTCCTTTGCCATCCTCAGTCCAGTCATGCATTGCTCGAAAACCACCTTGAACACGTGATCCTCGAGCTGTTTCCACTCCGGCTCATCGTATAGAGCCCACTGCCAGCTGGTTGCTCGACCATAAACGCTTTGCCTCGTCTCAGCTGCGAAATTGCGACTCGTCCGCTAAGGCGTCCCAAAGATCTGCTCCGCATCTGAGACTTCTTCCAGGCTTCGGGATTGATCTGTCGGTTGAGGTTGCCCCATTTGCAGTAACCAGTGCATGGGGGTGCCATGAGCACCACTTCTGGGTCGTTGCGCTCCAGGTAGGTGAACAGATAGTCCACGTC